AACAGTCGGACGCTTGTAACGTAAATTAAGCAGCTACTTCTATTTTAACTCTTTTATGTCCTCTAAAAACAGCACAGTATAACCTGTCATCTGTGTGAAACAATTCAGCTGTTTCTATTGGCTAAGCTCGCCGACCGAGACAAATGAAACACCTCAAATTGCTCGGGTTAGAATGCTTGAGGATTGTATTTATTTTGTTGTATTATGTTGCGTAAATTTTTTAAGAATGAATAAGTTTAAGACGTTAATCAAATAATTAAGACTTCGGTGTTTAGATTTGGACCATTTGGGATATGGGTTGACTAGAGATGCATTTGATTTCCCATCCCACTATTTAGCCAGCCCATCACTTTATGATAATTCTGGTCTGTTCGTTGAGATCAATGTAACGATTAGAGACTTTGTTGTGAGTGTAACTGTATGGGCTGAATACATTTAACCCCTCAGTTAGCAGACTAAGGGAGCCTTCTTCTTATTTATTTAGCTTAGAGATTGTTGGTACGGGAAGCCTGAATTGTCATTATAGGCGCGAAATAAGTGCGGCTTCTCCATTATTGACATCTTCAAGTAATTTCGTCAATAACCTTGAGTGGAAAGCGGAAGACTAGAGGAGAAGAAAGACAGAAATTCCGATAAACGCAGCAACATTAGTGATGGTGTTGTGGGATTGTAGATCGCGATTCCTGCTAGTCTGTTCTGACTTGTTAGTGTAGTATTGTTCCACCCGTCTTCTCCTTGCCTTCACTAATCCAATGTTTCTCAAAAATTGTGATTTGAAATTTTGAATTTAACACTTGAATTCCCCTACTAAGTGGCTCACGGGAGTATTAATACGTATAATGAAATAAGACCTGTTTTGCAAGTAGCGACGTGTGCCAGAAGAGGCCGCTTTTCTCTGATACCAGGGAAAAGAGACCACTGCCAGCAGGGAAGTGCCGGTGTTAGTGGTATATAGAGCCTGCATTCCAAGTTGGCAGTTTCAATACCCACCTATGATGACTAAAAGGTTCGGTTCAAATCAGGGCGGAGAACAGAGAGAATTTTACTGCATACTCACAGGCTGGCATTTCTTGCTTCTTACAATATCGAGACGCATACAGACTTCATCCAAAAGCCGGTACGAATACGAAGAATGTTAACGAGATGATAAAGATATAACATGCTTACGACCGTCGTACGACTAATAATGTGTTCACACACGAGTTTGATTTCTTTTATCAGGAACGCCTGTTATTAGGTCTAATTAGAAAGGATAAAAGAACAAACTTGGCTGTTTTATATGACAAATGTAGGCTGTTCTAAGAGATTGTATTATATATTGAGCAAGCGTTGACTGACAGATTGATTCTGCGTCGTGGATTCAAAGAATAAGTTGTCTATTTTTGTGCTTAGTTCATAGGACTATGAAAAGATACCATTAATCAATCATTATGAGAAGACTCTGGTAACCATGTTACTAGCGAGTGGAAGTGCGGCCTGAAACACAATTACTTGCCAAATGAATGCATGGCGGATATGTGTAAGTGCTACAAGGTACGAAAAGCGCCGAAGCGGGAAAAACCGACCCAGCCATTTCCTTTTCCCGTTCTTTTACATCTTCCCGTCTTCTTTTTCTTTTGTTTTTCTCCTCCTCTACCTTCTTCTTTTTTCGTCTTGACTACTAAAACAAACATTCAATAGAGCGACCAGCCTACCGCTAAACCCCGGGGGGTTACTTCCTTATAAGGGGCTAATGGGGATGTGCCGCGGGATGGGGTCGTATTTTCACGACTGGATTGACTACAGTGGGGTCGCATTTTCATCAGAGTTACTAGAATGGGGTGGCACATTTTCGGATTTTTTGGGGTAAGACAGTTCTTTATATTTACGGTTAGGAGCGGTACCAGAATGTTTGTACTGTAGCAAAAAGTAAAGTGTTCTTCATTTAGTTTTAAAAATGGGTCAATTCATAAAAATGTAAAGTGACCAAATTGGGATGGCGAAAACTATACATTTGCCCAAAAGTGACTAAGATGGGGTTTATAATTGGTCACAGAATAGACTATAATGGGGTAGGGGCTCTGAGAGGCCAGTGGCACATACCTAGCAAAAATGTACCCGAGGGCGATGAGGCAGTTTATTCTGAGCAGCAAACGACTCAGAAGAATATGTTTCGTTGGAACTTTTGAACGAAACGAGTCATCAAGTTTAGGAGTTTTGGGTCTGTCATCAGCGATCATACCACGTGATTTACTCCAGATCTGGCAAGATTGCTCTGCCGCCTGGTGCGCATTATTAAGACGTTTTCATCCCCTCTTAGTAAATGAAACACTTTGCATGGCTGGTTTTAAGTTTCAAGTCTTGTTGTGTGTTCGGTTAATACAGTCAACTCTTGCCTTGCGGACACCTCGCTATTACGGACACCCCGCTAATACGGACAGCTGCTGAATCAACCCCCGGCTAAAATTACAGACATTTGACTGAAACAAATCTCGCTATTACGGATTCTCGCTATTGAGGACTTACAGACACCTCTCTCAGTCCCGACGGCACAATTTTATTGTTCTAACTCTCTTTATAACGGACATCAATCAGCATCTTTCGACATTTTGGCAGAATTATCTCAGATTATAATTCATTTCTTCCTCTTCCTCTCTTCGTCTCTGTCACTTAGGTTGAAAAGTGAACATAACGATTCCCGTTTAACATGATCATACCATGAAACTACCGTACTTACTTGCAAAAAACAGTCTTGATGTACAAAATGTACAGAAATTGGATTTTCTAGTGCCTTACTTTACGGTTTTTGTGACCTACAAATTTTTCAGTGACTGTTGCGGTGAATGAAAGGGAGATGCAAGTTGTGTTCTGTTACGATTTATCGTGTTTGTAAATAAAGGCGTGACGCTGTTTATATGCGAAAACTGCACTGCAATAGGTTCTGGAGACAATGTACAATATTAATAAATCAGTGTAATTCCTCTAATATCAAGAAATTTTTTCTTGCACCCCATTATTACGGAGTGTCGCTATTACGGACACAGAACCGGTCCCGGGGGTGTCCGCGGCAACGAGAGTTGACTCTATATTGATTGTTTCCTATTCTTCAGTTGTCACATACGAACTCGCCACAAGTGTCGATGCCTTAACCTAACGCCGAGCTTGTCGAGACGCTCAATTTGATGATTTAAACAATTGTAAAATAAATTTTCAGCGCGCATTTTTGCAGCTTATGCTTTATGTTCACACAGCGGTTCATTCCCGCTTCAGTCGGTGAAAGCGCTGAGGTTGACCCATATAATTTAGAGGTTGTCAGTTCAATCCTTGCATGGGTTGGACCTTCTGATACTCAGGCTATGTAGGGGTCAAAAACATTTCAGGTTTTCTAATTCCTCGCTACCTTTATAAGGACCTGCAGTTCAAAAGGTTTCTTTTTTCTCAAAAGAAGTGGCCATTATCATGGGAAAGAAACTTGAGGTATAGCCCATGAAGCAATCGTGGATGTTAAAAAAAAGACAGCTTCGAGCTTTATAATCCTGATTATATATATCAAAAATTTCTATAATGATTTCAAATAATTGAGAATTACTAAGATCTTCTACCATACAGAAGAATCGTTGGGTCAAGGTTTAATTCAATTTATCCCACTTGTGCTGAAACTTTCGAATTAACATTGCAAGAAATTATTTTAATTTCCGGCTCTCTATTACATTCAACTTTTAGCTTCATCGGTAACATGCCCCCGATACCGCGAGTAATTTTAGAAGGCTGATTAAATGAAACATTCTTTTAGGTTTGGTTATTCTGTGAAAAAGAGAGAAGAATGAATTATATATTCACCTAATTCTCTCCGAAATTCTTAGAAGAAGGGATCCCTGGAGTAGATTTTACAACTAGCTTGTCCCTTTATGAAGCCTTGCTGGCTATAAGCAGTTCGCGTTCAGGCTAGTGACGGTGGAATCTTCTCTTTTTCGAGTTAAAAAAAGCAATTGAAAATAATAATT